AAAATACTCTAAATTAAATTTCTTTTTGGATTTTTGATTTTTTTTATATTTTGATTTTTTTTATTATTATATATTTTTATAGTATATATATTATCTCTAACTTTTCTAATTTATCAAAACTATTTAATTTACCTAAATTTAATCGTTACCTTCCCTACGCAATGGCGCCAAAAACTTGATCCTTGTATGAAAAGTAAGTTGTGTAAAATATATACATAATTATAGACAATTAATAATGTGATTCTACGCAAGTATACGTATCATTATCAAGTAATAAATGACTTTATATTTAAGCCCCAAATATCGATCCCACAGGAAAGGTGTAAATTGGTAATGATAAGTTTTACTAGGAAATTTACAGAAAATCAAACGAAATCACTGTCAATAATTTTGAATGTTGAGATGCTATCAAAACTAAAGTACTTAACTATTAGCAAAATAGAAATGCAAAGTTTAAAAAGTAAATACTAATCTACTAACTATGTTTATGTAAAGAGGATTTCTTATGTGAAAAAGCATCATTCCCATTACAATGAGGTTCTGGTGAAATGAGATGAGATAAATATTTATAATATGTATTGTGTCAAATAGGCTTTATAATATGTACATACAAAATCATTGGCTAATCTTAGGTTTAGAACCTAAATCCGTGGCTAGGCTAGAAGGATACCAACTCCCACTTCCCTTCACCTGAAGGCTAACTCTCGCTTCAGTTTTTAAATACTAAGACTAAATTGAAGATTTTAGTCTGTCAACCTAAAGGCTCTCCAATTCTCTACATCTAACAAAGAATACTTTCCTATTTATTTGCACTTAATTTCATGAACGAATTTCTCCTACATGAAATCATATGTTTTGTTGTAGAACTCATACTCCATTTCCCGGATCATATGTTTTACAAACATATTTTAGTAATTCAATTGGCCAGATCAAAATGTAAATTAAATTCGGAGTTGAAAAATCATCACAATTTATTTTATATTTTAATATTGACACATCATATTATTTCTTTATTTCACCATATAATCTCAGAATATAGAGAAAGATAAAGTGAACTACTCAGACTTCATGAGAAATACACAACAAAACACAAATTTCATATATAAACGAAAGTTCATACAACACTAATAAACAAAAAAAACTTATCTGAAACTCTTTCTTAAACAAATCTCTTATAGTCTTTCCTTAGAAATGCAGAAAAAAGATCTCTCACTTTTCTTCTTCTCCAACACTCTTACAGAAAGTTTCACACTCAATCTCACCACACAAACTCTATACTATAAAACAAAAATCATTAATAGACTCCAATATGGTGGTGAAATGAAGATGGATTATGAAGAATAACAAAAATGGAGCGTGCTAGAACGTTTTGGAGCGAAAAGAAGTCTTTTCCTGATAAATTTTGGCCTCATATAAAGCACAAGGTCGGTTCTCCATAGGATGCCTCCAAAAACTCTTAAAAAATCGTCCAAATACATCGTACCTTCTAGAAACGGGGGCTGAACCGCCTTTGGCGTCGTCGGGGCGGGGTAAAACGGCGCTGAGTAAAAATTTCAGTTGTTCTGCTGTTCTGCGCCGTCGGCGCTACCCTTAATGCGGCGAAATTGAGTACTTCTTCAAAAACGTCATTTTAATTCCAAATTCTATCGTTTTTGCTTCATTTTTGCTTTAAGTCCTAAAAATCAACAACCTGCAAGAATTACATTAAGGTGCAATATCATCAAAAATAAGTATAAAATATGGGTCTAAAAATGCATATATGTTCGGTGTATCAACTCTCCAAATGCTTTCGGTGAGAGTCGGTGAAGGGGCCCATCGATCATGATAAAATTTGACCGGTCGACTGAATAGGTGCGGTGATTGTATATTACGGCTTGACTACAAGCGTTGGGAGAAGAATCAACAATGATGTTCTTTGATGACCCCACATTAACAAGGGTTTCCTGGGAGGCCAGCTCATCTGCATTATGAATAATGTCAAGGAATTAATAAGGAATGTCAAAATCGAGAAAAATCTACATACCATCAGTTTGCTCAATTCAGAAAAGGTAATAGAGAATTTGTCTATTCCTTCAACTAGGAAACCTCCATCCTTTTTCAACAAAGGAGACGGAGGTCAATCGACGACCGTCTTTTCTTTCAACCTCCCTTGAGAACCCTTAGTTTTTCAATGGGTGGAGTGGTTCGCTGACTCTCCTCAACAATCATCCCATACTTGGGCCAGAAGTCGGATTTTCTAGCGAGAGTACACATGGGACTTCTTTGACACATGACAACCAGGCCCTTCTAAAGAAGCGACCTAGTCGACCCGGCTCAGATTCGGGTGTCGATCACTTCTTTTACTTCATGATTTTCTTTTTTCTCTTCTCCACTGTGGTAGATGCGAGAAGTCGAAAGCCTTCCAAAGCTAAGAGGCGGACATCCAATTCCTTCTAGCTCGAACCGTATGTCGATCGAAGGATCTCAAAGAAACTTGAATGAGATGCCTTACAACGCAAACTTCATGCCCCTATTTATAGTGTTCACAGGCACGGAATTCAAGAATTAATTATTAAATTAATTTTTTTTTATTACTGCATCATTTATTACTTAATAATTTATGTCTTTATAGTAGTCGCAATCAATGCGCAAGAAGATCGGGGAACAAATATGTACGCAACAAAAATGCTTGCATGAATCTTAAAGGATCGAATGGTTGAGATGGAGTTTTAGGTGACTGGGATTTCGTGCTAAAGCTCGAGATGCCTTGTTGGGCGAGCAACAAAATTGATCGACGGAAGATCAGTCGAGCGGCCTGATCCAAAGTTTGTCGGGCGATTACACCGATTGACCAGAATCCTTCGTGGAATCGATCTAATTGTCGATACCATGATAACAATTGACACAGTGATAACAGTTCATCGATAGTCATTTAATTTATTTTTATAATGATGTACTTTTCATTCTACGGACACGAAGATTCAGTTATTTGGGCGGTTACAGTAACCGTTGCCTCCTTATGTAGCTGCATTTCGAGAACCCTATAAGTAGGAGGTCAGACATCAAATAAAGGAAGAAATTTTCTCTTTCGACTCAATCTATCCTTCTCTCCCAGCTCTAACTCTCGGAGTGTGTTCGCAGAAGACAATTCAGGATTCAAATAATCCCTAATTTTTGCATCACCTTCCCTCGCCTATGACTGCTACTCGCCACTACCCACCATAGCCACTCGTGGGCGCGACACTGCCAGTGATGTCACCGCCCCACCATAGTTCAATGCATGTGAAATTTATCATAACAAACCTAAAAACAATATTTCAATGCATGTACTTGCATACAACCAAATAACTTTTGTATTTCTAAAATGCATAGATTCAAATTGCTGAGCATTTGTAAAATAAACATGTTTAAAAATATCTAATCAAACATACTATCACGGTTCGGTCCGGAGCTTGGAGTTAATAAAGGCGAATACAGACAGTCGAACGGTGGGAACTAAAATTTTTTATATTCATTTTTTATGATTAATATTTAACAGATGAAAGAGCAAGTGAAGAAAGTAAATTGAAGTAATACGTTAAATTTACATCATTTTTAATTATTCGCATATGCTATAAACATTTTCTCTTTTATTATTCATATTTTAATCAAATAGTTAAACCTGAAATTTTAATTTAAAATAATAGTAAGCTAAGCATAGTCAATGAATATTATACTCATAAACTATATAGTAATACAATAAAAATAAAATAAAATGCATGTCAATTAAACTTTATGTAAATCAATCTAGGAGCATTTGAAAGTTTGTATCATCTAATATGATCATTCCTCCTTCAATTTATAAAATTCCCCTGGTATGTTTCAATCGAGAGAAATAGGATCATCTAGTATGATCATTTATTATAAGTTAATTTCATTATTATAAAGCAATTTTCCTTCAATGTATCTATAATATGTTAATTGTTATGTTCATTTCACAATATAAATTTAACTATTTCTTTTAAACAAATTAAACTTAATAAAATTTGGACAAAAAAATGTTGATCCGCCAAATTTACTAAGAGTAAAAATTATTATCACATATTAACTTAAATTTCTAATTATCTTATGTAATTTCTATTTTCTCAATCTTTTTCAATTAGTCTTTAAGATTTATATAGATAAACATATATTTATACCATGTAAGTCGTTATTATTATTTTTAATTCAAATTAAATTCATTAAATATAATCAGTACCAAGATTTAGATTCTTTTTCATTTTATTATTTTTTTTATTTTCATTTGCATACACATGTATTAACATTTTTTTAATAAATTCAATTTAAACAAAATAAAACTTAAATAAAAAAATTAAAAATCAAATCCTAGCCTCATGGTTCCACTATAAGCTTGGGACCTCCTGTACGCGAGTCGTTCCTTGCTCACAATTGATGCACGAGCTGCTCGATACTTCTGCTTCAGAGCATCAATGCATTCGGCTTCGACGCTTTCTCATCACTCCTTCCCTTTCTCTCCTTCCTCCTTCACTCAATTAGGGCACAATTTCTCTCGAAGGGATCTAACAGGGGCTCAGATTCCCTCCTTCATCACATAATAACCCTCAATCTTCCTTCCTCTTTATTCCTCTTTGCTTGTTGTGCCCTAGACCGTCGATGACACACGAAAGGTGAGCTGCTCGCCTCCTTCCTTCCTCTATTGCACGCAGAACAGACGGAGCTGCTCACCTCCTACTTCTTCCTCTGCTCACTCGCTTTCTCTCTCACATGACTTATTCCATCGGTTCTAACGAAACAAGGGAATAAGTCGTTCATCATGATTTCCCAAGAAAATCACGTTTGTTTCAAACATGTGTGGTGAGGGGGATTAAATTTTATTTTATTTGTTTTATTTTCAGTTGTTACATACATATTATTATTTTTCAAAATGATTTAACATTTTTTTTGGCCCATTCTTCACATCAAGTAATCAAAAAAAGAGTACAAATTGAAGTGAACATAACATAAAGATTAGCGATTCTTACAGTTAACATAGGCCAGAAGGTAGCCTTCAGTTCACTGAAAATGTTTGAAGGAGACTCAAACCGCAGGAAACCAATGACCACGTAATAAATGCTGTTCCAAATTGCAGACCAAACAGTTTGGTCAAATGCAACTTTAACCGGGACCACCCACCAATCGTGGAAGGGAAAAAGATACTGCACCATAGAAGCAACATATGAGCATTACAAACAATAACTGCAATGACTAAGTGTAAAATGCTAAGCAATTCATAACCACCTCACAGATTTCATAGTAGTAATGAGAAAGAGAACCATGAAGAGCAAATCCCGTGAGTCCTGACCGTAACATGCGAGCCCGATCAAAGTCAAAAAGTGGTTTCCCTGCATAACACTATAAGAAAATAAAAATGAAAAAAAAGAAAAAGAAGATTAGAGAGAAGTATGAAAAAAGTCTTATAGTCATCTGAAGATCAAACATTTCATTTACCTGAGCAATCCAGTCGCCTATAGAGTAAACTGCTCCACTAATCATCATTTTAGCCAACACTGGGTTTGTTTTTAAGGCGTCCTCATATGCGGCCCAGTTATGCAAGGGTGCATATCTGAGAATCTCATATATGGTCCAACCCTGAAGTAAAAGAAGTGTCAGTTGATTATCAAAGGACAGTAAGAGCAAAGGTTCTACAAAGAAAAAACATAGTTGGAAAGGCTAATCCCAAATCAAAATTAAGAAACGATGAACTATGTGAGATGTTAAAACTTAATCCTCCAACTAATAATCACTGCTTTACAAAGTTTAGATCATGCATTAGAGTGAAAATGTAGAACTCATGCCAACTCATAGACGAGAATCTTTTAATTTTATGCGAAGAAAACAGAAACAAAGTGGAATGAGTTAAACTAGCAGACACTGAGTGAAAGAGAGCTTCTATAAGTAACTCTGCATGAATCGGACAAAATTTAGAGCGTATGCAAACTCATAAATAAGATGGTTTTTGTAATTATAAAAACTGCTCCACGCTAACAAAAAAAGAAACTAAAAGGAGTTAGACTTTTAACATGTCATGTTATCTGAGAGATTGCAAGCAAAAATATGATGGATGCACAGCCACGAAGTCAGGAAAGTGCAAGCATATTTTGAACCAAGAAAACACCTGTATAATAAAGTAGAAAGAAACCAATATGCTTAGGGGCCGTTTGGGATCGTTTTGATTTTTGTTTTTATTTTTTATTTTTACTTTATTTTGTTTAAGTTTTGATTTAAAACTAACATATTTGGCAGAATATAACATATTTAATTGTGCTAAAATCACTCGAAACCACTTTTAGATGTTTTGAGTATTTTTAAAAACAAGCTAATTTGTTTTTAAAACAAAAAAAATAAAAAAAATGCAAAAAATGCACTAAAAAAAATGTTTTTAAAATAAAAATAAAAACAAAAACAAAAAATAAAAAACAAAAATGATCCCAAACTAGTCCTTAGCAGCCAAAAAAGTATCCTAAAAAGATATATAATCCTTAAATCTTAAATACATGAGTTTGAGAGTTGTCGCTTTTCACTTCAAAACATCCTTCCTAGAACAATAGTTCTTTATTAGACATCACTGGCTGATGTCAAAATTTATTACTACATATGCGAATGAAAACACATTGTTTCGATGAAAATAAGAACTAAAAGTTGATAAGTGTTTAGCTGTGTTATACCATCTGAGCAATTTAATGCACTTAAGTCCAACTTCATCAGACTGTAATGCAGGAGGGGTGCATTGGGAAATGATTATTTCATCAAAATGTCTTCTTGATTTCACAATTTCTATCTTTAAAAGAAGGCATGATGAGTGCAATTTCATAATAATTAGTAAGCCTTTTATCCAAAAGAAAAATTAAATGTAAAACAAAACATCAAAAGAAATTTCTAAAGTAATAAGGAGCACCTTAACAAAGAAGCTAAAGAAACAAAAATCCACAATGTTCAAGAGTAAAATGATTAACATATAAAGCAGTTATGCTCAAGGGCTTTGTAATGGGATCATCACCATCAACAAATAAAAAACAGATTTGTAGGAAGAGTAGTAAATCTAAAAAGATAATCCATCTTCAATGAATAGTATTTACGAAACTATACATAAAATTCAGGTTGTTCATTACATACCAAGCAGATGACAGCTACTAATAACAAGTTATCTGGTAATCTTAAGAAGCTAGAAGTGCAACAAAAAGGCAATAAAATAGCACCTAAGTTTTACCGCAACATGTAATCAACAAGTTGAAAACAAACTGTCAAGTTCATATTCTTATTCAGAAGTGGGAAACAAAGGACCCAAGTTAAACACAATACATTAGAAGCTAAATGTCCATACACCTAAGAGCTTAGGCTAATGGGTAAGAGCCACTGTAACTATATTAAGAATTCAACTCTTGAATCACATCAATTGTATGACTATTCTCCGCTCTCATATGAATTTCACCACACCCCCCCCTCCCCCCCAAAAGCTCACTCAATTATGTGAAACTCGGATAAGAGTCGCCACTTCTTGAAACTTTTTAAACTATAATAGAAATTACCCAAATCTATTAAAGCTGCAAACTTCTTAACCATTCAATCTAAACCAAATCATAGACCATGGTGCTACTTGTTAGGAAAGTGAAGCGACACCCAAATTGAGTGTAATATAATAGTGGAGAGCCTATCAGCCAAAAAAATTAAGCGAATACTACAAAACTCAACTCATATTTCTTATCAGATGTACAACAATTCTCCACCCTCATATGGATCTTAACAATTTGAAATGTCCAATCATGGCATATTAGCACAAATTTATTGCGCAATGTTGAAACATATCCAAATGTCCAAAGCAAGAACTTGACCATCCTCAAAATTCCTTAAAATTATAGAAGAGAGTTAATAAAAGAGAAAAGTAGAGCTTGGCCTACCCAATGAATTTTTTTTAATGTGAACCATCCGAGCATGGTTAATCCTAGAAAAGCAAAATTCTCTAACAAAAAATGATACTTTCAAATATATAAGATAAAATCATATTTACTTGAAAAATAAAGTCGGACGTTGCGAGAAAAAGTAGTAGAAAAATATAATCTTATGATATGGAGATTATTGGAGTTCAACTTGTCAACCCCCATTTTGGTTCAAGCTATTTATTCAGAGGTGTTTCAAGCTTGACTCATATCGCCTCAATTTGCAACATCAAATTGAGACCACACTGACACCCTCGAGTGTAACCATGGACCGACTAGTCGTTGGGCATGGGCATATACCAAAAGACCCACTAAGCATGAAATGAAAAATAAGATAACACCCATTGCCCCTCACCTGTGCATTTCGCAAGGGTTGATTACCCACATTAAGGGCCCCACAAGGTCCCATTAGCCAAAAGTTCCACATAACTTCTCATGATCCGAAATTTGAAGTCCTTGATGAAGTCCCATAAAAGTGAGAGACTGCACCGATGGAATGCATTTTATGATCTTTCATTGTACATGTTGTAATTTAGTCCCACACAAGTTTCAAAACCTTAAATGACAATGATGTATTGTAGGGATATGCTACATAAAGTAGAACATTCTAATTAGGTGATTCCCAAAAACAAAATTTTTAATTTATATTCTTTAGTCTAGCCCTAATTGTGATGACTAATGCTAGTCAGAGTCCATATTATGCTCACCTATAGAGCAAAGTCCTTAAGAGTACCAATTATGTAAATCTTTCTAAGCATAGTTGACAGACACTACTCATATTTTAATACTATCTTGTTACGACAAACTATTGTGAGTATATTTTAAGGAACATGCACAAATTTCTTGTTGCAGTGGAAGATATATTCTTTCCTTTATAGACATCAATAGGTTTAACATCTATGAGTGCCTTTCTTTAGAGTAATGGGGATATTTTTTATTGCTTTGTGTATCTTGTTGCTTCTATCTTTGTTAACCCTACGTAGAAAAATATCATTTGCTTGACTTTCTTGCCTTAGATAGAATCGTGTAGACTTGATTCTACACACCAATATACCTACCTTTTTTGTCATGGGTTATATAACAAATATAATTGTACTTGTGGTGCCTTGCGCACTGTACGATGCACATCTTTCTTAGTATAATGGGATTGTCATAAATTTCCACCATGAAAAATTAGAAATGTAAAGAAATACTCGCTCGGATCTCTCTACAATCAATGAAACATACCAAACTTTGTTTAAATCCCTTCCTCTCGATTCATAAGAGAAATTGCATGCCAAAATCATCTTCCTCAACTCTTCTTTGTTTCGCAAGAACCTTGTCGAAACACATCATGCAAGAGTCATAGCCTTTGTCGCTTGAATCGAAAGCTTTAAACCCAAATGGAAGATATAACCATATCCAGCACGCCCGTGTCACTCCTGGGTGTGAGAGTTTTACTCTCTCTGGAACACGACGCATAAGCATCTGAAATACGACGCAGGGCATTGTAGACCCAGAGGTGAGCACGCCTATGATCAAGGGTGTGTCGCGCTATTTGTCTGCAGGTGCGATGGCACTGTCCAGGCGTGAGGAGAACGTCAAGGCACAGGGGCGCCGTCCAGAAAGCTTTCAGTTGTTGGGTGTTCCTTGTTGCTTCCAATCAGGCTCCTTATACAACAATCTCTCACTTGACGACTGATTTGCACCTTAACACCTCATCACCAAATCTGCACCTCCATTTGTATTATCTTCATAGTCATGTACTGTGTTGTTAGTCACCACCAGTCTCAACCTTCATGGACTTTAAATGAAGCAAGACTAACTCCAATTTATCAATAGTTATCACCTTTGTCAACATGCCCGCATGATTCTGAGTTGTGTATCTTCTCCAAGAATAACTGTCAATCTTCCAAGAGAGCGCATAAAGTGATACTTAAACTGAATATGTTTTATCCTAGTATGAAAAACAGTGTTCTTAGCAAGTTGAATTGCACTCATACTGTTATTATAAAGTTTTCCAATCCCATGCTCCTTGCCCAATTTTGTCATAAAGCCTTGTAGTCAAATCATCTCTTTGCGAGCCTCAGTGATAACAATGTGTCGTAGTTAAAAGTGCAACAATCTTCTACAGTCCTAAAACCCAATTCACTGTTATATCTCCAAAATGAAGATATACTATGTTATACTCCTATAATCCAAATATTCTGCCAAATCTAAATCCATGAAGATTGATTCCCGCACTTTCATAGCAAAGTTTCATGCTGAATATTCCTCTCAAATACCTAAGAATCTACTTCACCGTCTCCCATTGTTGTCAATCTGGATTGCCCAGATACCTACCGATGACTCTCATTGTATATGCAATATTTGGTTTGAAACATATTATAATATGCATCAAACTTCCAACTATTGAAATATACAGAGTTCTCCCCATCTATGCTTACTCTCCTTCAGACTTTGGCAATAATTCCTTAGATAACTTGAAGTGACTTCCTAACAAACTGACTTTACCTCACTCATGTTGAACCTCTGTAGGATCTTCTCGATATATTTTTTCTGAGACAACTTCAGTATATTTGCACTCCTATCCCTGATGATTCTCATCCCGATGATCTTTCTTGTTCGACCTAAATCATTCATCTCGAACTCGCTTGATAATTCTTCCTTTAAGTC